CTGGGGATGTGGTGAGGGACACTGGGGCAGCTGGGACAGCGAGGGGGGGCACTGGGGATGTGGTGGGGGACACTGGGGCAGCTGGGACAGCGAGGGGGGGGCACTGGGGATGTGGTGAGGGACACTGGGGCAGCTGGGACAGCGATGGGGGGCACTGGGGATGTGATGGGGGACACTGGGGCAGCACTGGGGGCACCAGGGCTGATAAGGGGGCACGAGGGATTTGTCAGGGGAGGGAGGGGGGACACTTGAGGTTCCTGGGGGTCCCGAGGGTCTCGGGGGATGGGGGCTGCAGGGAGGGGGCACAGAGGAGGAGCAGGGTGGGAGTGACACTGAGGGGGCTGGGGGACACCAGGGGTCACTGAGGGGTGACAGGGAGGCCAGGGGGGTCTCTGAGGGGTTGACAGGGGGTCTCTGAGGGGTGACAGGAAGGTCGTGGGGTCTCTGAGGGGTTGACAAGGAGGCCAGGAAGGTTCTGAGAGGTGACATCAGTTTGGGGGCTCCCTGAGGGGGTGCCAGGGTATTCCTAAGGGGTGACAGGATGTCCCTGAGGGGTGCCAGGGTGTCCCTAAGGGGGTGTCAGGGTGTCCCTGAGGGGTGACAGGATGTCCCTGAGGGGTTCACAGAGTGTCCCTGAGGGGGTGTCAGGGTGTCTCTGAGGGGGTTTGACAAGGGGTCCCTGAGGAGGTGACAGAGCATCTCTGAGGGGTGACAGTGTCCCCGAGGGGTGTCAGGGTGTCCCTGAGAGGTTCACGGGGTGTCCCTGAGAGGGTGCCAGGGGGTCCCTGAGAGGTCACACGGAGGTCGGGGGGGGTCTCTGGGGGGGTCTCTGAGGGGTGCCGGGCTGGGTGCCCGCGGTGCGGGTGGTCCCGGTGCCCCCCGCGCCCTTTACCTCAGCCGCTCCCGCGCCGAGCCCGCCCCGGCCCCGCCTCCGGCCCCGCCGCCGCCGCTTTTCCGGCCGTCGCAAAACGGGGCGTAAAAACCAAGCGCCGCCCGGTGCGGGGACACGGAGGTAACGGGGGGACAGGGAGGGGCTGCGGCCGGGCCGGGACCCCCCGGCCCCCTCCGGGACCGCCCTGGCCCCGGGCCGAGCTCTGGGGGAGCGCCCCGGTGAAGGGGGGCCGGGGCTGTGCCCGCGCCGGGCCGGGGCTGCGGGCCGGGGCTGTTCCGGGACCCCCCGAGACCGCCCGGCCCTGCCCGGGGCTCTGGGGGCGCGGGGGGAGCCCCGAGGGGGGCCGGGGCTGTGCCCGCGCCGGGCCGGGATCGGTGGGGGCGAAGCACTGAGGGGACCCCGAACCCCCCTTCCCTCCCCTTCATCCCCTCCCGTCTCCCTGCCCTGCCCCGTGGGAGCCCCGTCCGGGGTTTGTTGTGGGGGAAGAGGCTCCCCGGGTTGTTTTCCCCTCAGAACGCCCCGAGTTCTGTGTGCGGGGGCCTCATTTTCCGTGCCCGGCCCCCGCAGGGCCCCCGCGCCGGCCGGGTTTGGTCTCGGGGTGATGAAAGAGGGGCAGTTTTGCTCCTTGCCGAGCTCGTCGTCAGCCCGGGCCCTGCTTTCTCCTCTCCCCTCCCACTGAGGTGCCTTTTCACTGCTGGAATTTGCCTTGATGAGGGTGTGGAGAGGCAGTGTCAGCTCCTGTTCTCAGACAAGTGCTGACCTTTGATTTCCACAGCTTGTTTTCCCTACCTGTGTGTGGAGTTAGAGCACCCTGCCCTCTTCCTACGCTTCAGCCACATTTTCTTCTCCCCCCCCCCCATTGTCTCCTACTGATAAACAGCAAACTCTTATTTTTAGTCTCCTTTCTCTACTCTTCTTCCTATGGAGAGTTACATGTTTCATTCAAGGGAGATGGAACATTGTGAGGGTTCTTGTTTGTGCTGGAAAAGCTCTTCCTGACCCTGTACTTTCTCTTCTTTCTGGAAAAAAAATCTGGATAACTGCAAAATCAGTCTGTGAACCAAATTGCAAAGGTAGTTTTAGATAATTCAGTCTTTGGCCTTTTTTTTGCTGGG